TACAGGTCCTGGTGAGTAGAACAAAGCATGTGTGGTGGTATATACCAGGAAGAGAACTAGCGATACAGGTCCTGGTGAGTAGAACAGAGCATGTGCGGTGGTATATACCAGGAAGAGAACTAGCGATACAGGTCCTGGTGAGTAGAACAGAGCACGTGCGGTGGTACCAGGAAGAGAACGTTGTGCTAGTGTGTGTGGAGGGAACCCCACAGAGGAGACCCTCTCGGGGAGTAATGGTTGCAATATGTTAGACAGTATTTCTAGGTACGTAGAAATACAGCCCTTCAAAGGGCGTGGCAACTTTCATCATAACAAATTTCATTTCGTTTTAAAAAATGTTTCGTCTAGAAAGTAGCCAAGTCATTCTGCCATCATGCCCGGTTCAGGTCCATAGGTCTTATTGGCGGTCTTAAACAAGTAAGTTAGTCAGAAATAACAAAATTTCTGCTTTTGATTCCTCAAGTTATGCTGCGTATCTATTATATTGTGTGTTTTTTTAAACAGAAATTTGCTCGAGAAGGCCTAAAGAAACCTGTAGATTTGATTGTAGCGACACCTGGAACGTTACTCAAGTATAGACAAAAAGGTACTATATTTAGAAGAAAAGACAAGTAGAAAAAACAAGTAGAAACAGCGGACATTTTGCTTTCTAATTGCTTTTAGTTCGACCCCCGTTGAGCTGCGCCACTGTCGTACTTGCGGTAGTGAATAGTGATAACATTTTTTGTGCGCATTAATGAACTAAATGACACTTGACTGGAGCTAGGGGTTTTATGGTATTTGCAGCTAAGCAATCACGTGCTGGTTTATTCACTGAGAGCAAATGAATGAACATTTTGATTCCCATGGGTGACATTTACTGGACTGCAAACAAACTTTCTACAACCTGTTTTGAGAGATCGTAATAAAACTGCATTTCGTAACACGCTGGATACACATCTTTTCATTCAGTTCTTTACAAGCACCTAAACAGAATCACCAATGTAATATAAAAACATAAATTTTGCAGTCCAGTACAGACACGGGACCGTTGCAAAGGGCCTATTCAACCCCTGTCCTTGGATTCGCCGATCTAATCATGTCCCATATGTAAGAAAATACAATAGTATTGAATGTGTATGGTCTCGGAATATGAACTCTAGGGTTCCATGTAGCTAAATATTTTTTCTCTCGTTAGATCGTTTGTTCTTCTCTGACTTGGCTTATCTTGTCATCGACGAGGCAGACACCATGTTTGACAGCTCGTTCAAGAGTCTTACCATGGAGATCCTTCATACTGTTCATGTACGTGAAGAATGATGAGTTCTCGGGAATAATTGTGTACTGAGGTTGGACAAAACTAGGGGGGAGGGGAGAGGGGAGGGAAATAGATGAGAAGGGAAAGCAGGAGAGAAGAGTGAGTGTGTTAAGTGTGCTAAGTTATGTCCATGAGCCGTTTGTTCATTTTTCTTTTATTCTTCACCTTTTTCGTATTTTCTCTTTTTTAGTTTTTGAATGAACATTTGCACAGACATAAATGTGAAACATTTTTTGCGAGAATGATTGTAAAACGTGCGGTGTCACGAACTGTGATTGTTAATAATGTGTTGACTATTCACAGGTGCGTGAGTCAAAGCCCCCGCCTCCTAATCATCTACCTATCGCCACTCAAGTAACCATCGTTGGAGCAACTTTACCTGATGATCTTATTGTGTCTACTCTCGCAGACATCGTACCGGTTAGTGATGTCTGCTTTTTGTTGGGATTCCATGTACAATAAAGTCTTTTAATGCATACAGAGTGAAGTGCTTCTTCCCTGTATTCTCTCGTACCGGTTAGTGATGTCTGCTTTTTGTTGGGATTCCATGTATAAT